GCTGCAATTGTTGACGTTTAACATTGAACAACACGTGACTGAGTTTTACTCCGTCGTTGCAGTGGAAGTGCCTGTATTGACTGCCAATAGATGCGTGTTTAACCCTTAATGTTAAGCATTGCTATTTCTGCAAAACAGCAGTACTTTAACTTGAAGGGATAAAATGACAGAACCACTGCACCCAGGCCTCTTCTCTGAGATGAATGGGCCTGGGTGATTTTAGTGGCTCTTTAATGGAGACCGGTCACAGGATTTATAACATTAATTATCTTTACTTATCCTAAATTATTAGCAAGCATGTTTTTATGAGGGCTGTAAAATAAAATGAAATGGTGAAATTCACAAATCTATTCTGGAACTGGGCCCCTCCATCTTGGTTGCCAGTCAAACATCATTACAAATATTGCCTTCTTGCCATTTAACACAGTCAGTGGAAGAATTCTCTTTTTTCCTCCTCATTTGTATTGTGTGCCTTGGTTGTCCTAGACAGAGCTGGATTGTGATGCTAGTTGCTAAATAATTAATATGCACTTTAAAAGAAAATGAAGCATTATATAAAACAATGGCTAACATAACACGATTTTTAATGTTTTAATGGTGTAATTTCCAGAGAAGTGACAAAATATCTCAGAAACAGATTTCACAGCTACCACTACTAGCATTATCGCAGAATTTAACCTCAAACAGTGAAACATAAAAATGATATGTCTAGAACATTGTTAAGACTTTACAAACTAAAGTCATGTTTTCATTAGAGTCTTAACCTGTCAAATGACAGAAGGATGATTTTACTGGCATTTACAGGTTTATGGATAACAGGCATGATAGCGGGCATGTTGTAACCGCATCAAAATGTTAACTACTAATAAGCACATGTCAAGTAGTCAAAATAATTATGTGTATGGAATACAGCATACATTATTGATTTAAATGTCAGACACTTACAATAACAAAACTTGGGTACAATTCAAACTGTTTTCCTTAGGTTACAAAGCCTTTAGAAACAATAATAATTTGCGATTCTTATAGCGCTTTTCTGTCTCTGAGACTCAAAGCACTTTACAAGTATACAAACATAAAGACATACAATTTAGGAGTTTCTGAAGGTCAGCTGATCGGACAATGCCTGATGGAAGAGGTGGGTCTTTAGCTTTTTTTTTAAAGTCTGTAAAGATGGTGCCTCTCTGATTAAGCACGGTAAAGAGTTCCAGAAGGTGGGTTCAGTGTGGCTGAATGCCCTGGAACCTGAGTCGGTCTTTATTCTTGGCACTGACAGGAGGGATTTGCTGGCTGACCGAAGTGAACGGGATGGAATGTAGGGTGTTAGGAGCTCTTTCGGGTACTGTGGGCCTTGGTTGGTTCATATATGTTCACCATTTAATTGGAAGCCAATGCAGGGAGTGGAGAACAGGTGTAATGTGGCAGTAGAGAGTTTGATAGGTCAGTAGTCTGGCTGCTGCATTTTGTACAGTCTGAAGGCAATGGAGTTCTTTTTCTGGGAGGCCCAAGTAAAGTACATTGCAGTAATATAGCCGAGAGGATACAAATGCATGGATTAATGTTGGCATATCATCTGGTGGAATTAAGTGTTGTAACCTGGCTATGTTTTTCAGATGAAAGTAGGCAGATTTTATTACTGAGGAAATCTGCTGTTTAAATGATAGTCCAGAGTCAATCAGCATCTGATGTTCTGTACCTTTGATGAACTGATGAGTTACCCAGTTGGATAATCATGGGATATTTTTGTTGCCCGGGTCCCCTCACCAAGAGTAACTCTGTTTTGTCTGGGTTCACTTTAAGCCAACCTCTATGAGGTCTGCTGAGCAATAGAGTTGAGCGGACACCTGGATGTTCGGGTACGGCGGGTTTGGCCGAAGTTTGAAAAAAAGTCCAGGTTCGGGGTCGAACTTGACCCCGAACCCGAACCCCATTGAAGTCAATGGGGACCCGAACTTTTGGGCACAAAAATGTCTCTAAAAATCTCCTGGCAAGGGCTAGAGAGCTGCAAAAGTAAGTAAAATTGGGGTAAGAGTAGGACAAGTGCCCTGCAAACAAATGTGGATAGGGAAATCACTTAAAATAACATAAAAATTAAAAATACAGCTGAGCCATAAAGTAGCACTAGATGGAATCTTTGATTTTAGCTTTGGAGGAACATAAATCACCAGAATTATCCATTTGAGAGAGGGCTGGAGTGCAGGGTATTCTCTTTCATTGTTCAAACTGAGCTCAACTCCTGATGCATGGAGAAAAGGCCTTCACAAGCCTCTGCTATTGTGTACATAGTTTATACTAGGTGACCCATAAGTTAAGGAGGCGGTGACCGTGGCGGTGTAGGTGGAAGCGGCGGTGGAGGAGGAGGATGAGGTAGCCAACACTGTTTTTTATTTGTTTTTTTTGTTTTGTTTTTTTTATAGGTGTAGCCCCCAAAATATTGGGATTTAGGACATATAAAAAAAGAAACATCATGGAAGATCTGACTGCTAGATTAAGAGGAACAACCGTAACTTTCCAGAGGGTCTGGGAACCATGGGACAATAGTGCAATGGGCTCCGGTAACGATTAATGGGCTGAATATATGGTTTAAATCGGGATCCGACACTGCATGGTCAGAGTCAGAATAAAGCACCTCAGCCTCGTCTGCCTCCCCCCCCCATCCCATCCTCCCTCCCCTTCATACTCACATCCTTCTCGTCTTCTTAACCCCTCTTCCTCGCCTTATCTTTTCTTTTCTTTCTCTATCTTTCTTTTTCACGTCTACTACATCTTGTTACCAAACCCTTGGCTTACAAGGGTATCTTCTACTTTTTACTCCCTTATTTCTAACTTTGTCTCAGACTATGGTGGCATTACTTAATTTCCTCACTCAGGCACGAGCATACTGACGGAGGATTGAGGATGACTAAAGTACACCCTGATATGGATGGAGCTAGGGCTCCTTCTTAGGATGCAGGGCCTGACTACAAGATACAATATCATTGAAGTGAGGCGAGTGGAATAGCATTCATCAAGAGCTAATGTCATATTTCGTGTTTTCAAGTCTGATTTCTAGCATTTAGGCTCCTGCGCGAGCCTCACAGTGGTATTGCTCTTGATATGCCTATCGTACGTAAAATTGGGAGTTTAAGTGATGTAGCCATATAAAAACATAAAATCCTCGATGGGGGGCAAGATGTATGGAATCTATAAAGTGGCTTATCATAGGGGCCGATGGTAATTTTTATGTATATAAATATGCTCTTCAACATTTTTTGGCTTCTGCGCAAGCCTCCAAGTTGTATTAATCTTGCATTGCCTATCGTGTGCAAAAATAAAGAATTTAAAAAAAATTAAAAAAAATAAAATAAAAAAAGAAACATTTGCAGCCTGCGGTGCATTTCTTGCAGTCCTGATGCATGGAGAAATGCTCAACTCGTGATACATGGAGAAAAGGCCTTCACAAGCCTCTGCTATTGTGTACATAGTTCATCCTAAGTGACCCATAGGTTGAGGAGGCGGTGACCGTGGCGGTGTAAGTGGAAGCGGCGGTGGAGGAAGAGGATGAGGTAGCCAACACTGTTTTTTATTTGTTTGTTTGTTTTTTTTGAATTGGGGTAGCCCCCAAATTAGGTAGCCAACACTGTTTTTTTTTTTATACTAGTGACAGTTGCAGAAGAGGAATCAGTCAGGAGCTATTAACAGTTTAATTGAGACCCATAGGTTGAGGAGGTGGTGATCATGGCGATGTAGGTGGAAGCAGCGGTGGAGGAGGAGGAGATAGCCAACACTGTTTTTTATATATATATATATTGTGATAAAGTGAAGGCAGATAGGCCTTTTAACCCCAGGGGAAGTACGTGTAGTTTGTGTGTTACACAGCACATAGCATTGTTTAGTTATGGGGTGGAGCATTTGGAGAGAAGGGTGGGCCAATGCTCCACTCCACAGTTTAGTGGTTTTCTGGGGAGACATGGATCCAGGCCAGGGTTTTTTGGATCGTCTCCAACCCACTGCTCAGCTGCAGTTAATGAGCTGTTGCAGTGGGAAAAACTCCTCCCTGCTAGGCAGGTAAAGGAGAGGGATTGCTGGCTTCCTCCCAGGAAGCAGGTAGGAGAGAGGCTGATCTCTCCAGATAGAGCCAAGGAGACTAGGCACTGGGAGTGCAGAAAGGAAGCAGTCAAGGCTGGCTTGGAGCACTGGGAGTGCAGAAGGAAGCAGTCAAGGCTGGCTTGGAGGCACTGGGAGTGCGGAAAGGAAAGCAGTCAGGGCAAGGCTGGCTTGGAGCACTAGGAGTGCGGAAAGGAACTCAACAGGCTAGCCAGCAGAGTGTTTCTAACTAATAAGGTTGGTGCCATATGTTTTGTTAGTTTAACCCTGATAGAGAGGGATGTTCAAAGTGAGTTAGTGCTCAGACCGAGCTAGGTTTTTGTTTATAGGGTTTTGTTACATTTATGTTTTAATTTACTGCTGTATCCTGTGTGGATTTGCAAATAAAGTGACTGGATTATATGCAATTGCAAGGACTGTGCATGTTTTTGCCCTAGAGGACCGTGCTACCTGCTGACAAGGATCACAATATATATATATATTTTTTTTTATTATTTTAATTGGGGTAGCCCCCAAAATATTGGAGCATATAAAAAAAGAAAACTGTTCCGCAGAGCGACTGTGCGTGCTGCATCTGAAACTCCACTATC